CATTCATGTCTACCATTCTGCGAACAAGCTCGGAAGCTCCAGAGACTACTAGTAAGATAGAACAGTCGCGAAATCCTGAAGGAAAGGACAAACTTCTTCACTAAATTGTCCACACAACATAAAAAATCAGCAAAATGGGCGCTACGGAGTTTACAGGATAAAGTGCAAGGACTGTAAACCAAAATACGTCGGAGACGGGAAAGACAATCAGCACAAGGACCAAAGAACCCCAGACTATGCATAAAAATTGATAAGAGAAGAGTGGAGATAGCTGGCAACATCGCCCATACCGGTCACACAATTGATTGCGGCGCAACGGAAAAACTAGTCGCGCATGAAGAAAACAATAGAAAACAGGAAATTAGGAAGGCTGTAGGCATCATATTTCAAATAAAACGAGTTAACGCGAGATTAGAAGAGTAAAGAGTCAGTGTAATGTATGGACAGACAATTAAGGTGAGGGAAGTTAAATCTGGCATTAAGTGGGGTTCAGAGAAGTAGATGCAATACTAAAAGGTAGGACAAAAATAGTGATACCACAGCGGTTGAACAGAAAATTGATCAAGAGGATTGCCTTCACTTGTCACTGATAAATTCCAACTCTATGCTGAAGATGGCGCCTCATACGATGCCGACTACAATACCAGCGGAACGTCTGATAATGGACCATATGAACATTCCGAAGCTTATAATATTGGTTAATACTATGGCAGAGGCAGAACTAGGCCAGTTCAACAAGGTATTCCTATAGCTGCAACACTAAAAGAAATTAGGTTTCGTAGAATTCCCTAATAACTTTTCATAAATTGCATTTTGTTTCGAAAGGCGAGTGGAAGAAATTAGTAAATTGGCCTCGGCGGAAAGCGAAGAATTATCTTTCAAGTTGCTACTATGGCTTTGCGCGAAGATTTCTTCGAAACAAAGTCATTTTATTCCAATAAATCCGAGCTTTACTTTGTCACATGACAACAGTAATAAAAAAATCAAACTTTACAAAAATTCACCATATTTTAAGATAAGGTGGTACGATTATGCCTACTTAATATAGCCTGTATGGTTGGTTCATGCTTCCTAAAAATTGCCTGTGAATAAGTAATTTAGCTGGGGACGAATCGACTGGATAGCTGTACTCTAGACAAAATCACTTAAATATTAGCTAATTAAATAATAATGCGAATAATTGCATTTGTTTTTATATGCGTGGTGTGTATGAGGTATAAGTGAGACACGTGAAATGAAAGCCATAGCCAGATTCGAGGATAAACAAGCATGCTTCTCTGGCTTGGTGGTGCCTCCTGCTACTTCACCCCTGTCCCTTTCATAAGCCCATCCAAAAGCCACAAGAAGTTCCCACTCAATTCCCTGCTCTTGCTCCTTTTAATGAGGATGTTTATTTCTGGTTAAATTAATTAAGCATCTTAATATTCCTAAAACTGAGGCATCCTCAATATCTTACGAATCTATTTTTGGTGTCCTGTTACAGCCATATATTCGGCCAATTCTGAATTTTAGATCCATGCAACTTTGTAGGCTGCTTTATGCTCAGATAATTCTTTGTTCATGGGTCGGAAGGCCGCTTTTATATATGCTTTATCACATGAGTATTAAAAAATGTATTAGCACAATCTTGAGAGAAGATATGAAAATTTCGGAAAAGAATACATTACTAAGGAGATTTGTTTTTTCCTTTATATGCTCCCAGTCCTCATTAAAAAGCCAATTTATTTCCAGAGATGACAGGATAAAGCACTAGGGCCACAGTGGAGTGCTCCAGCAGTTTATGATTGAGATGCTTCGACTCATCCTATTTCCCAGACTCACTCTTGTACATTTTGCCTCTTTAATATCTGTCTTCTTAGATCTCGTACTGAAACATAAACCAGGTCAGCTTACTGAACGCATGGTTTCTTTATGGACTGCGCCATCTAGCGAAAATTGGATATCTAAAAGGCATATCATAAATTAGTCTAAACACCCCAGGCTTACTTTTTGATTCACTTATAGCCAAATTGGGCGATGTTCGCATCGCTACCACGGCAGGGAAGACTAATCGATCGGCAAACCTCTGTCGCCTAAGGGCAACCGACTCACGGGCGATGTCTAACAAGGCATCTTGTGGATTATTTCGACTTGCAGCTGCTGAGACAGACGGTGTTGAAGGAGTATTTACTAAGGCGTCGGGGTAGACACCAATCAGACGCATTAAGAGTCCCGTGATGCAATGGCGTAGACCTGGATCTGGATGAGCTAATCTAACGAGTAGTTGGGGCAAGCAAGCAGCCCAAACACCTGGGCCCCCCAGAGTTGCTCGATCAGGGTCAGCTCGAGGAGGGGAGACCACGTTGCAATCAACAGAAATTGATTGGCATGTCGTCACCTGCCCCTCGCAAAGACCACTTGTGTTCGAATGACGCTCTGAATTGGAAAAACTAGATGATGCAGGAGATGATAGAATCGCGGCTCCATGGAGAAGAAGGCTAGCGATCAGTTGACGGAGCGAACGACTTGGACAAGTAAGCAGACTGAGAAGGCGAAGCGAGGCTGGAGAAATAGTAGAGGGAGACAAAACATAAATTAAAAACTAGCCTGGCTTTTATAATTAACAAGACCAATTAAAGAAATGAATAAACGTAAATTGTCTGCATCTGTCGATGAAGTCAATCAACTACTTTGCTAACATTCATGATTAGA